CTTTGTATTTTTACCAAATACCATTTGCGATCGTTCCGACTTATATACTGCGTGCAAAAGAAAGAAGGGTGTGTGCAAAGCTTCAAGTCGAAAGCTTTAAAACTGAGAGATTAGTTCGCGTAGAAACAGAGCATTTTCTAGAAATCGTGATTTCCATCGCATAAACATAGGAAAAGAAAAAGAATCATCTGCGACCCCACAAAGTATAAATACTCTTGATCAGCAGCTATGTCGATATAGTCATGTCCGTCTGTCCGCCTGTCTGTCTGTCCGTATGAACACGCGGATCTCAGAAGAGAGAAGAAAATGGTAAGATCTCAGAAGATGGTAAGAGAGAGAGGAATAGGATGTGGCTTGGAGACTTCTTCAATGCCCATGCAGGTCAAGTTTGTTTTAAAATTCACAGAAAATGCGAATTTCTGTAGTGCCAGTACAGAAATGTTTTTTGGAAAACTTTTGATGCCAAATTATTTAATATATCTGAAAAACAAATCTCATTCAAATCGACCGATTTTTAGAAGAGATATACCTATGAATATAAATATACCATTTCCCAGTAAGAATACCAAATACCAGAGGTCGGCACGGGCCTATCTCGGGGGCATAGGAAATTTCTCTGCCCGAGCTCTGGCACACACACACACAGTATAAATGTGTGAAACGTCATGCTCACAGCCTACTTTCTGCTATTCGTTACTAACACTAATGCGGTAAAATCATATCAATGTATTGAAGTGCCGACCACTGCCATATACCAAAAAAAATGGTAAAAATTTGGAACGTGTGGAATTCGAAGACTATAAAAGTTGGAACTATCCTATTTGGAACTTGGACTCGTATGGTAGCCGTGTCTATTCAGTTTGTGTCACAATTTTGCCACGCCCACTTCCGCTCCCAAAACTTAAATCGTTTTGGTTTGATTTAAGCTATTCCAATGGCAAATAAATATTTAGGAAGTACATTTAAAATAATTAAATATTAAATAATAAAATATATGCTATTACCAAATAACGCATGCTTAACAACATAATAATAACGACATTCGACCCCAAAGCAAAGCACACCTTCAGCAAAAATGTATTACTTTTTGGAATGGTTCCAAAAAGAATAGTTCCACCCCTGGAACCCGCTGGAACGAGCGTACTTTTTCTCACATTTGAGAGCGGGTTTTTGACAAACGGCCGGCAGATGAGAGAGGAAAAGAAAGAATTCTATTTTAAGAACATAACATCGTTGGAACGATGAAAGTTTGAAACGTTCACATCGAACGTTTCACACACTGCTCTCGGTGTGTGAGCAAAGAGATCAGAAATATCTTCTACTATCTTTACTCTGTAGCTCTGATTTTGCCATTGATTCTCGCTTTTACATAAATACCAACTTGAAGTATCTTTAAATTAACTTGGAGGGTACCCTAGATGGAAAACGCGTGCTCCGTATGCTTGGGGTTCTGGGTTCGATTCTATAAGTGGAGGTTGTTTCAATTTTTAAAAAGTGAATTTTAGTTTTATAATTAATTTTATATTATTTATTTAAGTTAGAGCTTAAAGATAATTAAAAAAATAGAAAAAGTTCGAAGTCATAAGAAGGATTTGAGTATGGGATAGTTGTAAAGAAAGCAACTACTCTATGCAGACAACGATCAGAAGTACTATTTTTCATCTACCACATCGGCGCATTGCAAACAGAAACTATGAGAAATTGAAATTTGGAAGGCAAAACCTTTATACGCCTTCGCGCGAGCAGTGACACATACATACAAAGGCACACATTTTTTTCGACACATACATGGAAAGAGTTCTATGTATTGTATGTCTTTACCTGTAGGCAGTATAATTGGATGCTGAATATCAATCTTCGGCGAAGTTTTTAGTCGACCATTTACATGCAACAGACAAAACTTATCCAAGAACGGAGAGGAAGAGACAAGTATACTCGATAACGATATCTCCTTTCCATTTTGAAGCGTATTTATGTCCTCCCAAAAGCTCACACGCTGCACTAGTCGCAATAACAGTTGGTTTTTAGACTTGACGACGCTAGGTACACGTACAAAAAGGTTTTACACGTAAGCAAATATGCGCAGCAGTGCTGGAAACGGACATTAGAGAACAACGTCTAAGAGTACATTGGTGCATTGGTCTATAAGCTTCTGAATAGGCAAAACTCGATGGAGCGAATATTAGAGCGAGGAGGTTTTTCTTAAATGACTGAGCCACAGCCGAATCGCTCCAACAAAAATTATTCCCAACGTAGACCTTCAACTGCGCTTTTTTGGACATAAGTCGAGCCAATCATTCGGCTCCCAATAACTTAAGCTTCGAAACGGTAACCGTTTTTAAAGGCGCAACTCGGGTCTTCGAGCAGAGTAAATAACTCGCAGATCCAGATCTGTTCAGCTTTGCCAGGGCGCATCGGCGCAGCTTATGACACATTAGGCCTTGTCGGTCCTGTGCTAACAAAGCCAAAGATCTTTCTCCAAAAGCTATGTCGTGAATATTCCTGGGATTAAAATCTTCCTCAGGCTCTTCACTCCGACTGGGATATTGTTGTCTACTGCCTGACCCGACGAAATGCTTGGTTTATGCTTGGTTTTTTATTCGAATGATTTATGGATTAATATTAAAGTCTGCGCAACTACGCGGCCAGTTACGGTGACAGCGCAGTAGTCGGTATTAATTTATGTATGTGTGTTGATAGGATTTGCGTAGTTATCTCCCGGTCAGGCATGCCACACAGTCGCCTCAGCACTGAGACTGTACTTTGCATATGTGTGTGGTCATTACTAAGCTCTTGAAGTATGCCAAGGAAAAACTTTTTAAGATTTATTCAACACAGCGAGCGCAAATATTGATAAAAGTTTCAAACCAAAAAATATGATTATTCCCCATTTTTTTAATCACAAATAGTGAACATTTATTAGGTCTTATTTTTCTTTTTAAAGAAAAAAATAATACAAAATAACAATTAATCATGATTTTATATTTTTTGGCTCACAGATTAAGTATTATATTTACTTATATTTACATCATGCATTATATACATATTTATTATTTTAAAATGTATACATTTATTAATTGAGCGTATATGTATAAATAAATTCAGGTCGTTGCCAACTACATATCGCACAGTGGCCGATTTGGGTAACTTAGCGTCAGATGTAAAATATCATTAAAAATAATAATTTTTATATGTTTGAAATTTTTATGTAATGTTAACCCAATAAGAAATAAAATTCAGGGACCGTAAATAATGATTATTGTTATGAATTTAATTTTAATAATTACAATATAAGGATTATTCTCTGAGCGAAAAAATAAATATCACAAAATAAACATTATTCTATAATCGAAAAATAAAAATCACAAAATAATCATTATTTTATGATCGAAAAATCAAAATCAAAATATAATCATTATTTTTGATTTTTATTTTTTTTTGCTCAAAAATATCACTCAATTCATGATTTCGCGCTGCGTATTAGATTTTCTTGATATTTGACTTCATATTTCCTTAGACCACATATACAGGTACCATTTAGTACCATGATTTCTTCTTTAACAGTTTCCGGACCACTAAAAGTTAAGAAAATTGAATCTAAAGTTTCTATAAATCATAGAAACAAATTTTTATATGGAAGTTTTTTTTAGTTTTTATTGTAATTATTAGAGCATACCATATTTTAATTTTGGATTAAAGGAAAAGTCCAAAAACATTTTATTAAATTTGTTATAGTTATTTAAGCTTTTTATTTTAAATAATTAGAAACTTGGAATATCATTTTTTGAAAAAAGTCATGGCCATCTACAAAAATTTTAAGTATTTTCTGAACCGAGCTTTTAAAGAGACTTGTTTTTAACATGGAAATTGTCCAAATGTGTACTCCTCAAAGCAAATCGTTGCCGAATATGCTATTTTAATTGAAAAATAAATATCTGAAGCTTTAGGATCTAGTATCTTTTAATGTAAAAAATCTTCATATTCAGTTTTTTCAAATGTTGAATGGTATGGAAGACCAAATCATGGTACTAATGGTACCTGTATATGTGGTCTAAGGTAATATGAAGTCAAATATCAAGAAAATCTAATACGCAGCGCAAAATCATGAATTGAGTAATATTTTTGAGCAAAAAAAAATAAAAATCAAAAATAATGATTATATTTTGATTTTTATTTTTCGATTATAAAATAATGATTTTTTCTGATTTTTATTTTTTTGCTCAGAAAATAATGATTATTTTGTGATTTTTAAAATAAAACTCATAATGATTACAGTCTCTGATAACATTTAATAACTTTAATTAAGTAAAATTTTTTACAAAATTTACAAAATACACCATTTTTTATTGTCCTACTCTGAATCTACATTTTTTTTCTGACTCAGAATCCGAATTTTCTTTTTGAGCATTGTAGTCCAGAAAAAGATTTTGGACTTAAATCTCAAAGGAAACTGCTTTGCTGGAGTTATTGGTCGAACTTTTGGAAAAGCTAGTAATTAGTGGATCTGACGATACTAACCATAAATGCAAAAGATCCGAATCTTAAGCGAATCTTAAATCTATGTTTTGGGCTTCTAAGGCTTTTTCTGACATCATTCATCGGAAGTGGTACTATTTCTATAATATCCGCCCCGTGAATCTATAATATAATATCCATAATATGCCATGCTCATCGAAAAGAACCAAATGTTCGGTTAACCTAGAATTGCCAAATCGTCCACTGTGGATCGGTATTTTACCTTGTCAAGAGGTTTTTTTTCATTGTTGTGTGTATTTATTTATATAAGTAAAGTACGCACATTTTTTAAATATCTATAAAATATAAGTTGTTCAAATTATAATGTCGAACTATTTAAATAATTTTAAAACGTCTGTGTTTTTTTTGCCATATAGATAATTTATGCAAATATAATTCTTTTTAATTATTTAATTATAATTATAATTCAATTTAATACATATGTGTTTTTTTGGCCATATAGATAAATTATACAAAAAACTTACATCTTGAAGAGCTTGATCCTTATATTGAGACTTTTCGGAATCGTTGACAAAATTGTTTTCTTCTTCGTCACTTATTCCTGTATCATCGTCACTACCATTGTCTTCATCTGAATATTTTGAATTGTAAAAGCTAACATTTTCAGGTGGGGGAGTAAAGCATTTTAGTGGCTTTGGTTTTAATGTCTCCATTGAGGAATTGCTTTTTTTTTCAAACATTTCTCGAAATTTATTCAAAATTGTTGAAGTGGTTTGAGTTTCTTCTAAAATGCTATCTTTATATAATAAAGGAGGCTTTTGGTTCAAGTTTTCCGCAACAACGTATAATGGTGACATTTTTTCTACACTTAATTCTGACGGTGCTACGCCACACTGCATTTTTTCATTTTCATTGTTGCGTAAATTTTCAAAGAAGTTATACCTTTCCGTCAAAATTTCTGTGGTAATTTGAACATCCTCCGGTTTCGAATCGTATTTAATAACATCATTGATCTATAAATAAATACAAAAAATTATATAATTTATATACATATGTATGTATATCGAACACCCAACAATTTTATATACTTAAGAAATGGTCGACATTAATTTTACAACCTGTTGAAAACCAGATTATGACATCTTTATGACTATCTTTAACACTTATTGTAAATACACTCCCAGGTGCCTTGAACCTTTTACGTAAATCAAACTGATTTTGTACACGAAACTTCGAAATTTTTATTGAAATGTAAAATATAAATTAAAATTCAAAATACTTTTGCTTACCCTTGTGGTTTGCCGCTCTTCACATTTAACAATGGCGCTTGAAAACTTTTCTATAAATATTTCCCTTTTTAGTGTTGGGAAATAACATAATACTGACTTAAGACAAAATTTAAATTATATCGTTACTTTACGGGTTCATCATTCTCCTCGTGACATTTCCCACCTCGTAGTTCTTCCATTTGGTTTGCTCGTCTGATCCATGACAAGGATTGTTGTAGGGGAGCGTTGCTGCCGCAAAAGATTCCAGAAGTGATGAAAAAAAGAAAGAAGTCGGGGGCGTCGTGGTTGAATTCAAAAACGCGTTCAGCTTTATTCCGCTGCTTACAAGAGATTGACAACTTAACTTAGAAGAATAAACGGACAATTGATGACGGCCGACGAGAGAGGGAGAGTGCATAGAGGGGCGAGCGCGGATGCGCTTTTGAGCGCGGATAAGCTCTTCAGCGCGGTTGCGCTCTTCAGCGCGGATGCGCTCTTAAGTTCAGCTGAGCGGCGGCCCAACGGCCCCTCACATAAACAAGGACTAGATTGACTTCTGAAAGTAAAGTTAAGTTTGGCTCAAGCTTTTTGGGTAGGCTACCCACTATTTTTTGGGTATATATTCCCGGATCCATCTTTTCTAGAATCGAACCCTCAGATACCTAGTGAACGTTGACTTCGTTATACCACTAACTATACAGCATATAGACAACCCATTTCATACAACAAAAATGGACGCCAAAATTCCTTGCGACAGGCCCCAGAGCGAGATCTTACTCTCTTTCTTACGCTCATATTCTCATATTTTTACGAATGATTAAAAATCAATATACTGAGATAGTGTCAGGGTATATTTCAGTCGGAGTCACTTAAAACGCCGATTGCTTTTAAGATTTTGTTGTTCTGCAAGAGGCTTGTGCATGCCTACCCTAACGATGGAATGATTTTTAAGGGAGTGTGAAGACACGAAAAAAGATGATTGATTTTATTACCTTTTTTGTTTTGGCACTAGTTATTAATTTGGTCTATTGTGAGATCTATGTCGTTAATTCAATAAACTTCTTCAATATTTTGGTTCTTTAAAAAAGTTTCCGCCGAATTTGTTATATATATATATATATATAAAGGAAAGGAAATTATAATTTAATTTAATAATTTCGTTAAATTAATAATTTCCTTTATAATTTCCTTTCTTTTATATACTTATGTCGGAAAAATGAACGAAAGATGAGCGTAAGAAAGAGAGTAAGATCTCGCTCTGGGGCCTATCGCAAGTAATTTTTATGTCCATTTTTCTGTATGAAATGGGTTGTCTATATGCTGTATAGTTAGTGGTTAAACGCACCATGCGTTCCCAAGCACCGCCCGTGAGGTGTGGAATATAGGTGGAATATATCCAAATGTAATTTCCGAATACTTACATTCTACATCCGAAGCTAGTGTCTGATACCATCTTAAGAGGTACGCCTTGACGTGCAGTAAATGGAATTTAAACTGGTCTTCTTAATTAAGAATTGTATCAATTGTAGCAATATCTTCATCCCAGCCTACCTGTTCTATAAATATTATTATTTCTTTTTATTTGAATATAAAAAGATTGGCCGCTATTAGCCCAGACTACCTACACAATCACAAAAAGACGACTCAAGTTGTGTTAGTAAAATCGAGGAATAACTGCGCAAAAACTTCGAAGGCAAAAAATCTAAAAAAAACCACGGTCTCTGTGATGGTAAAATAAGACGGGGACAGCATTATGGCACCAACAGGATCAAAAAAGAAATTACAGGGAAAACATCAACAAAAGGATTGAAGACGACAGGGTTATTGACACACTGTTGGAATTTAACTTGAGTACTGAATAATAGTTTTATTTTGGATAATTGAACAGAGATTAGGTTTTACACATTCGTTGGCGTTAGTAATGGTAGAAGGCAATAACTTTTGCTATCGATAGTTCCGTATGCGATATGTGAATGTAGATTTATAACGTGCCAATTGCTTTCCATTACTTCTCCTCAATTGGTAAGGCGTTGATCGACTGGACGTATACCCAGGAGTGTCTTGCAGGTTGGCCCAAAACTTCTTGTAGAAAGCTTCTAAGGTAAACAGCTTCCATTGAGGAGTCAGAGCCATGTCCTCTGCGTCTGTGCCTGACAATGCAACCGTCCGTTGCTTTCGACATTCCCAGGATATTACTTCACCTGCGAACTTAGAAGCAAAACCTATAAAAGATCTGCGATCATCAATGTTGGCGGCCCAGTCAGCATCGGCGTAACCTACAAGGTCTTTGCCACTTCGTTTGTAAGCCAGGAAATAGTTCTGAGTGCAGCAATCCAATTTTGTTTTCCAAGGTTTGTATTGTATTGACTCAGTGCACTCACTGCAAACGCAACATCAAAGCGCGTTGATACTGCCACCCACATTAGGGCTCCTACTAAACTCTGATACGGCACGTTGGAAGCATCTTCTTTCTCGCTTTCGGTTTTCGGACAAATTTCAGTTGACAATTTCTCATTCGTGTAGATTGGTGTTTTTACGGTCTTACAATTCTCCATATTGAACCGTTTGAGAATATCTGCGTTATATTTTGGCTGACCCATAGTAAACTCTGTTTTGTCTGTGTTTTGTTTAAACTCGATGCCCAAGCAATACGATAGTTTACCCAAATCTTTCATCTGGAACTTGTTGGACAATTTGCGCTTCAATTGTAAAAGCATTTGGGTGTTATTGGTCGCAATTATGAGGTCATCTACATAAAGCGGTACGATCAGGATCCCGTTAAGCGAGTGACTTAAGGTTAAGTTCTTTGAGATTACTATCGAGCTTTTTGTACCACTGGCGTCCACTCTGTTTTAGGCCATATAAAGTCTTTTTTAGCTTACCCACTTTTTCAGGTTCATACATTTTTTTGTCTTTAGCTGTCCAGATTTCTTGGAATTCAGGTGGGACGCTGATGTGAAGTTCTTCCTCAATATCTCCATTCAAATAGGCGCTGTTGAAGTCGTATTGATGAAGATACAGTCCGAGTTCCGCAGCCAAAGCTGTTATAATTCGAATCGAGCTCATTCTGGATACTGGCGATAAGGTCTTATCATAGTCAATGCCTTCGCGTTGGGTGAATCCGTTATCAACCAGGCGAGCTTTACGGCAATTTACCCTTCCGTCAGGTAAGTATTTTGTTCGAAGTACCCATTTTGTTTCGATAACCCTATGGTTTTTCTGCCGATCAAAAACTTCCCAGGTATTGTTCCTTTTTAATGACCTGTACTCGTTTATTAATGCCTCCTTCCATTCGATGGCCTCCATTGATTTTCTGCTACCGGCTCAATGTTGACATCAATCTAGGGTTGTTGGTTTTTGAAAAAATATCGTATTGATGATATTTGCTGTGAAAAAAATATCAATCGATAATATTCAGAAATATCACCCAAAAAAATCGATATATCGAGTATTTTCGATATTTTTTATAGTCAGCTAAATTTGAAAAAAGGTTATTTTTAAATTTAAAAAAAGGTTTTAATATGTGTTTTCATCCGCCATGAACTGCAAATAAGACATATTTTTTTATTTAAAAAGTGAATTGAAAAAACAACAAATATTTATACCCACTCTCAAGCAACTTTTATTTAAGTTCTTTGAAATAAAAAATAACAAAATTATTAAGGACATTGTATTCAAATTTATTTATAAAAAAAACTTAATACAAAAAAAAAAAGTTTCATGGAATTCATGGAATATGTACTTAATAATTCTAATTACTTAATTCTCTTATTTAATGCTCTTAATTACTCTTAATTACAAAATAAATCTTTCTTCAATGATTTAAAAAAAACTCTTTCGGTTATATGCTGGTCTGTCATTCGACTACGGGAGTCACAGACAATACATTTAATGGCAGAAGCCAACCGTTCAGATGAAACCGAACTTCCAGGCGTGATAAGAAAACTTAAAGCAACCTTCGCTAGCATCGGCATCGTTGAAATTTGTGAGTTCCAGAATTCCAACGGATTTGTCTCCCAACTACAAAATGGCATACTCAAGTAAACCTGCATTTCCTTTCTTTCGCAACAAATATCGGAGAACACCAACTCAAAAATATTATTATCGACTATTTTTGCCCAAAAAATATCACGATAATAATATTTTTTTAAGAGAAAATATATCGATATATCGATAATTTGATATATTTCCGACATCCCTACATCAATCTGAGGTTTAATGAACTCTTCGAACTTATACTCGTGCCCAAATAGATTTGTGAAAACAACGTCTCGGCTTTTAATTAAGATTTGTAGATTTGAGATTTTTCACATTGTATGGCCTATAAGCTTTGTCATCGGTGCAGTATCCAACGAATAAACATTTATTGGATTTTGGGCTAAACTTACTCTTCGATGGTTTGTCCAGTGAATATGCAATTTGACCAAATTTTTGCATATGCCTTACAATTGCGATGCGATTGTTTCACAGCTTAAAAGGCGTTTCTCTACATAGGTTCCTTGAAGGACATCTGTTTCTTATGTAGTTTGCTGTGTTTACTGCTTCAGCCCAGTAGCTCGCAGGAAGTTCGTCTTGCAACATCAGGCAGCGAGCCATTTCCACAAGGGTCCGGTTCTTACGTTCCACAGTGGTCGAGCTTGTATGGAACCGCGGCCATTAATACTTATAGATGTGCTATCGCTATGAAACTTTCACCAAAAATCAAGAAAGATATTATAAGCATATCATAAAAAAAGTTACTAGAT